GCGGGGGGGGGGGGGGGGGGGGTATACTTGAATCAGCTTGTCTGTCTGTCCGTTTGTCCGTCCGTCTGTCTGTCTGTTCTGACACTTTTTAGCTCACCTGCCCGAATGGCAAGTGAGCTTATGCCGTACTGCGGTGTCCTTCGTCCATCCAGCGTCAACTTTTCCCATTAAAAGCCTTTATCTCCTGAATGACTGATTGGATTTTAACTAAATTTGATATGAAGCATCCTTGGGACCAGGGGCTCAATGGATTTATGAAGTATTTAATATTTTTCACTGATGAACATTTTGTTATGATATTATGAAGCAAAGTTGGTCGGAATTAAAGAACAAGTCAACTGACCAAAGATCAGGGTCACTGGGTTAATGATCAAGGTCATTTAGGTCCAAAGGTCAAAGACAAAGAGGATCTCTGACTTTGACCCTGGCTCTTGATGGAGGAGGTATATATAAGGTGAAATAAAACAAATCAAAGCTAACAAATGAGTATTGCACCGGTATTTACATTTCTGTTAGCCCAGCAAATATGGAGGTGGAAGATAACAAGACTCGCATCATAGTACATGTAAAATGTATATTTTGCTTCCTTGCGATTCTTTTTGAATTCCAAATGTCAAGCTCAGCTATATGGGCAGATTGCTTCTTGATGATTATGGGGGATATATTGCCACAAGACGGGGCCCTTACTGACCTGTCAGTGTTCTACTTTAAAATTGTGATCAAGATCATGCACTCATTAGATATCGCCATTATATGCTGTTTTACCTATTGTGTTTTGTGTTTCATGATTAGAGTTGTGTACCTTTCATATCATCAGTTATTAAGCAAAGACAGAGGGTGTGGAACTTGATCTTCTGGAAACAAGATCCTTGTAACAAAAACATATATCCATATCTGTGTAATGGAAGGGAGTCATCTATTCTGATGTCCATATCTGTGTAATGGAAGGGGGACATCAGGATAAATGTCCCCCTACCATTACACAGATATGGACATCAGAATAGAATACTCCCTTCCATATCTGTGTAATGGAAGGGAGTATTCTATTCTGATGTCCATATCTGTGTAATGGAAGGGGGACATTTATCCTGATGTCCATATCTGTGTAATGGAAGGGAGTCATTCATCCTGATGTCCATATCTGTGTAATGGAAGGGAGTCATTTATCCTCTTGTCCATATCTGTGTAATGGTAGCTATTAGGGAGTCATTCATCCTGATGTCCATATCTGTGTAATGGAAGGGAGTCATTTATCCTGATGTCCATATCTGTGTAATGGAAGGGAGTCATCTATCCTGATGTCCATATCTGTGTAATGGAAGGGAATCATCTATTCTGATGTCCATATCTGTGTAATGGAAGGGAGTCATTTATCCTGATGTCCATATCTGTGTAATGGAAGGGAGTCATTTATCCTCTTGTCCATATCTGTGTAATGGTAGCTATTAGGGAGTCATTCATCCTGATGTCCATATCTGTGTAATGGAAGGGAGTCATTTATCCTCTTGTCCATATCTGTGTAATGGGAGGGAGTCATTTATCCTGATGTCCATATCTGTGTAATGGAAGGGAGTCATCTATCCTGATGTCCATATCTGTGTAATGGAAGGGAGTCATCTATTCTGATGTCCATATCTGTGTAATGGAAGGGAGTCATTTATCCTCATGTCCATATCTGTGTAATGGAAGGGAGTCATCTATCCTGATGTCCATATCTGTGTAATGGAAGGGAGACATCTATCCTGATGTCCATATCTGTGTAATGGAAGGGAGTCATTCATCCTGATGTCCATATCTGTGTAATGGAAGGGAGTCATTTATTCTGATGTCCATATCTATGTAATGGAAGGCAGTCATTTATCCTGATGTCCATATCTTTGTAATGGAAGGGAGTCATTCATCCTGATGTTCATATCTGTGTAATGGAAGGGAGTCATCTATTCTGATGTCCATATCTATGTAATGGAAGGAAGTCATTTATCCTGATGTCCATATCTATGTAATGGAAGGGAGTCATTTATCCTGATGTCCATATCTGTGTAATGGAAGGGAGTCATTTATCCTCATGTCCATATCTGTGTAATGGTAGGTAGACATTTATCCTCATGTCCATATCTGCGTAATGGTAGGGAGACATTTATCCTCATGTCCATATCTGTGTAATGGTAGGGAGACATTTATCCTCATGTCCATATATGTATAATGTAAGGGAGTCATCTATTCTGATGTCCATGTTATTGTAGGGAGTCATTCATCCTGATGTCCATATCTGTGTAATGGAAGGGAGTCATTTATCCTGATGTCCATATCTTTGTAATGGAAGGGAGTCATTCATCCTGATGTTCATATCTGTGTAATGGAAGGGAGTCATCTATTCTGATGTCCATATCTGTGTAATGGAAGGGAGTATTCTATTCTGATGTCCATATCTATGTGATGGAAGGAAGTCATTTATCCTCATGTCCATATCTGTGTAATGGTAGGGAGACATTTATCCTGATGTCCATATATGTATAATGGAAGGGAGTCGTCTATTCTGATGTCCATGTTATTGTAGGGAGTCATTCATCCTGATGTCCATATCTGTGTAATTGATGAGTCATTTATCCTGATGTCCATATCTGTGTAATTGATGAGTCATTTGTTCTGATGTCCATATCTGTGTAATGGAAGGGAGTCATTTATCCTGATGTCCATATCTGTGCAATGGAAGGGAGTATTCTATTCTGATGTCCATATCTATGTAATGGAAGGAAGTCATTTATCCTCATGTCCATATCTGTGTAATGGAAGGGAGTCATTCATCCTGATGTTCATATCTGTGTAATTGAAGGGAGTCATCTATTCTGATGTCCATATCTGTGTAATGGAAGGGAGTATTCTATTCTGATGTCCATATCTATGTAATGGAAGGAAGTCATTTATCCTCATGTCCATATCTGTGTAATGGTAGGGAGACATTTATCCTAATGTCCATATATGTATAATGGAAGGGAGTCATCTATTCTGATGTCCATGTTATTGTAGGGAGTCATTCATCCTGATGTCCATATCTGTGTAAATGATGAGTCATTTATCCTGATGTCCATATCAGTGTAATTGATGAGTCATTTGTTCTGATGTCCATATCTGTGTAATGGAAGGGAGTCATCTATTCTGATGTCCATATCTGTGTAATGGAAGGGAGTCATCTATTCTGATGTCCATGTTATTGTAGGAAGTCATTTATCCTGGTGTCCATATCTGTGTAATGGAAGGGAGTCATCTATTCTGATGTCCATATCTGTGTAATGGAAGCTTCAGGGAGTCATTTATCCTGATGTCCATATCTGTGTAATGGAAAGGAGAGATTTATCCTGATGTCCATATATGTATAATGGAAGGGAGTCATCTATTCTGATGTCCATGTTGTTGTAGGGAGTCATTTATCCTGATGTCCATATCTGTGTAATAGAAGGGAGTCATCTATTCTGATGTCCATATCTGTGTAATGGAAGGGAGACATCTATCCTGATGTCCATATCTGTGTAATGGAAGGGAGTCATTTATCCTCATGTCCATTTTACAGTAGGGAGTTATTTATTTATCCTTATAGTCATGTTTTCATCAAAGCTGTCTATATCTTTATTATTCCTTCTTTTGTTTCATTAAATATTTAAAGATTAATTGATTGAGTTGTTATATGAAGGATAATCTGTTGCAGAATTGGAAAAATGATACAGTGAAGGAACAGAAGAAAATGTTGAATACAGAGAAACCTAAGTTATTGGTACAAGACATCGGAATGAAAATCCAAGCCTTGGATAGAGAGGTGAAGTACTTGATTAACAAGGCAAAAAACTTTCGACCCAAGGCCAAGCCTAAAGCAAAGAAAAATACCACGTCTGCTGCTAATAATACAGCTGCCAATGAAACAAAATCAACAGATGATAAAACTGATCCGCTGACGCAGGAGGGAAGGGACAATAAAGATTCTGATGAACCTGCAGATGATACAGGTACTGTTGGACATAATGGAATATTTTGTGATATTTTAGTTTTTATTTCAAAGAAATATGTGAATGAATTGAAATAGATCAATTCACAAGGGTATTTGTTGCTTTCAACAATTGATATCCCGAAAAAACATATTAAAGTTATTTTAGGTACTAATTAGGCAATACTGAATATGTAATGGTGTATGAGGGTCTGTGTGATGTGTATGAAAGTGTGTGGTGTGTCTGATGGTGTATGAGGGTGTGTATGAGGGTTTGAAGGTGTGCATGATGGTGTTTGAGGTTGTGATGGTGTTTGAGGGTGTGTGTGATAGTGTATGAGGGTGTGTGTGATGGTGTTTGAGGGTGTGTGTGATAGTGTATGAGGGTGTGTGTGATGGTGTTTGAGGTTGTGATGGTGTTTGAGGGTGTGTGTGATGGTTATGAGGGTGTGTGTGATGTATATGAAAGTGTGTGGTGTGTCTGATGGTGTATGAGGGTGTGAGGGTGTGTGTGATAGTGTATGAGGGTGTGTGTGATGGTGTTTGAGGGTGTGTGTGATGGTGTTTGAGGTTGTGATGGTATATGAGGCTGTGTGATGGTGGTGTACGTGTGTGATGTGTATGAACGTGTGTGGTGTGTCTGATGGTGTGTGATGGTGTTTGAGGGTGTGTGTGATGGTGTTTGAGGTTGTGATGGTATATGAGGCTGTGTGATGGTGTATGAGGGTGTGTATGAGGGTGTGTATGATGGTGTGTGTGATGGTGTATGAGGGTGTGTGTGATGGTGTATGAAGGTGTGTGTGATAGTGTTTGAGGTTGTGATGGTGGATGAGGGTGTGCATGATGGTGTGTGATGATATGTGATGGTGGATGAGGGTGATGGTGTATGAGGGTGTGTGTGATGGTGTATGAGGGTGTGTATGATGTATGAGGGTGTGTGTGATAGTGTTTAAGGTTGTGATGGTGGATGAGGGTGTGCGTGATGGTGAATGATGGTGTGTGTGATGGTGTGTGATGATACGTGATAGTGTATGAGGGTGATAGTGTATGAGGGTGTGTGTGATGGTGTATGAGGGTGTGCGTGATGGTGTATGAGGGTGATGATGTATGAGGGTGTGTGTGATGGTGTAATAGGGTGATGATGTATGAGGGTGTGCGTGATGGTGTATGAGGGTGATGATGTATGAGGGTGTGTGTGATGGTGTATGAGGGTGATGATGTATTAGGGTGTGTGATGGTGTATGAGGGGGTGTGTGATGGTGTTTGAGGTTGTGATAGTGTATGAGGGTGTGTGTGATGGTGTATGTGGTTGTGTGATGGTGTATGTGGTTGTGTGATGGTGTATGAGGTTGTCATGGTGTATGAGTGTGTGTGTGTTGGTGTATGAGGGTGTGTGATAGTGTATGAGGGTGATAGTGTATGAGGGTGTGCGTGATGGTGTATGAGGGTGTGCGTGATGGTGTGTATGAAGGTGTGTGTGATAGTGTTTGAGGGTGATAGTGTATGAGGGTGTGTGTGATGGTGTTTGAGGGTGTGTGTGATGGTGTATGAGGGTGTGTGTGATGGTGTATGAGGCTGTGTGATGGTGTATGAGGCTATGTATGATGGTATTATGGTGTGATGGTGTGTGATGATATGTGATGGTGTATGAGGGCGTGCGTGATGGTGTATGAGGGTGATAGTGTATGAGGCTGTGTGATGGTGTATGAGGGTGTGTGTGATGGTGTATGAGGCTGTGTGATGGTGTATGATGGTGTGTGAGAACTTGATTCAGTTGATGTTTTATTTCATGAAGGCTCTAAACTGTTATTGCCTGACTAATTTGACTATACCCCCCTCCCCCAACCCACTCCAATGAAGTTTGAAGTGGGGGCTAGTAAAAATCAGATCAGGGAGGGATTTAATAGCCTGGTGGACAAATTTCAGAATTGTACACAAGTTTTAGATACATCAAATTGATTGTTCTCAGGGTCAAAGAATACAGCAAAGGGTACCACTACCCCAGAGGAGGAAAGTGAGCTACCATTGCCCCCAACAGAGGAGGAAAGTGAGCTACCATTGCCCCCAACAGAGGAGGAAAGTGAGCTACCATTGCCCCCAACAGTGGAGGAAACGACTAAGGAAGAGGAAGTGTTACAACCAGGTAAGTCAGGAATCAGCTAGTCATTAAAACTTTTTAATATTTTATGAATTTTACAAGGCTTTGAAAGAAGATACATAATCTATAACATCAGTAATATATCATGCATAGGTGCCCCCGCCCCCCACAGGAGCAGAGAGAGAGGTTGGGCCTAAAAAGGGGCCCATTGGTAAGAACATAGGGATAAATCCTTCTTGAGTATATGAATGAAGGGATTTTAACGAAATTTTGTCTTGAACATCCTTTGGCAAGGGGAATTCAACTTGCATAAACAGAGGTTGTGAACCCTCCCCCACCCCTTAACCCAACCCCAGACCGTGCCCAATAATGGGAACATGGGGATAAATGTTAACCCTTCGGCTGCTACGCCCAGCATATGCCGTTCTAAAAAGTCTGGTCGCCAGTGCTACGCATGGCATATGCCGTTTCTGGGTCTGTAAGTTTTGATCAGTAAACAGGAAGTGTGAAACTATTTATCTATGATTTGATCATAAACCGTATCTAAGATATATCTATATGCCGACTGTGACAGTATGAATTGAATGACGACCTGAAACCTGTAGCAAATCACATGCAATTTTTTATGAAATACCTGACCTTTTTACCTGAGAATCTTTGTGTAAATGTACAGCGTCTTATGTCAAAAATGAGGTATATAATCTCTGTTATCATTTGCCAATCACATTTGCTGATTTTATTTTATTTAAAATGATCTTTCTGGTGCTTAAATCTGATTAATTAAAGTTTCACCTTTTCTTACCTTTATTAACACCTGTACAGGTAAATAATGAGGCAACTTTAGAATTGAAAACGTTAATATAAACTACAGACAATAACGAACAATTTTCATATAGCTTTTTTTCAAATATAACAAGTATTTTTCAAGTTATGCACATTTGAAAAATCAAGTAAATTAATCTATATTTCAATAATTAATTCAGCAGTGGCGTCCCTTTACATAGAAATCAATGTAGCAGCCGAAGGTGTAAAAGCCTTCTTCTGTATAAGTAAGTGGAGGGGTCTACACCAAATTTGATATAGAGTATCCTTAGCCCAATAGGATTCAATGTTGTATAAGCTGTACCATACAGAAGAAGGGGTCTACACCAAATTTGATATAGAGTATCCAGGGGTCAAATATGTTAAACATTTCAAACAACAATATCCTAAGAACCATTTGAACTAGAATCATGATACTTGGGTATGTTATGTAGACCAGCAGTTTGAATATTTTTCTCAGTTACAGTTATGAGGTAAAAGGTCAACTTTAAATGCTAATTAGGGGTCAAATGTCAACTTTGGTTAAAAGCTTTAACAATCTTCTTCTCAAGTTCCATTAGGCCCAGGGTCATATTTGGCCAGTAGGTACTTGGGATGGAGTGCTATTAAGTTTCCTCATTAAAATGACCCTGACCTACTTTCAAGGTCACTGGGGTCAAATTTGTCAAAAACTTAAAACATCAATATCCTAAGAACTATTTGGACTAGAGTCATGATACTTGGGTATTTTATGTAGACCAGCAGTGCAAATCTTTATCTCTATAACAGTAATGAGGTCAACAGTCAACTTTAAGTGCAAGTCTGGTTCAAAGGTCAACATGGGTCAAAGGCTTTAACAATCTTCTCAAATTCCATAAGGCTCGGGGTCATGATATTTGGCCAGTAGGCACCTGGGATGAAGTGCTATAAACTCTCCTCATTAAAATCACCTTGACCTACTTTCAAGATCACAGGGGTCAAATATGTTAAAAACTTCAAACAACAATATCCTAAGAACTATTTGGACTAGAGTCATAATACTTGGGTATGTTATGTAGATCAGCTGTGTGAATTGTTTTCTTATTACAGTAATGAGGTCAAAGGTCAACTTTAAGTGGAAGTCGGGAGTAAAAGGTCAATATGGGTTAAAAGCTTTAAAAAAAATATTTCAAGTTTCAAACAAAAATATCTTCAGAACCGTTTAAGAGATGTTAGAATGTCTTGTGTTCTAGTTACCAAATTTGGTCTTAAGTTACCTATATGTCAGTTGCATGTAACAAAAGAAACAGGTGAGCGATACAGGCCCCCTGGGCCTCTTGTTGAGATACATAATTACTACAATATCATACACATGGTTTATTAGCTCACCTGGTCCGAAGGACCAAGGTGAGCTTTTGCCATACCGTTGCGTCCATCGTCCGTATGTCCGTCCGTACGTCAACAATTTCTTTAAACGACTTCTTCTTCTTAACCACTGATTGGAATTCAACTAAATTAGACTGGAAGCATCCCTAGGTGGTGGGGATTCAAAATTGTACAAATGGTGGGGCTGACCCCCCAGGGGGCTGAAGGGCGGGGCAAAAAGGGTTATTTGGCTATATTGCTTTAAGCGACTTCTTCTCTGGAACTAGGAGATGGACACAACCATATTTGACTGGAAGCATCCCTAGGTGGTGGAAATTCAAAATTGTACAAATGGTTGGACTGACCCCCCCAGGGGGCTGAGGGGGCAATTTGGCTATATTGCTACAAACGACTTCTTCTGTAGAACTGTGCACTGGATATCAATCATATTTGATCAAAAGCATTAATAGGAGGCAGGAATTCAAAATTGTACAAATGGTGGGGCTGACCCCCAGGGGCTGAGGGGCGGGGGCCAAAAAGGTTATTTGGCTATATTGCTTTAAGCAACTTCTTCTCTTGAACTAAGAAGTGGATATCAACCATATTTGATCAAAAGCATTCATAGGAGGCAGGAATTCAAAATTGTACAAATGGTGTGTGGAAATGGTTTTGATCCCCACCATAAAACCATGGTATACAGCTGCTGAGTAGAAAGAGAAGAATGCACATTTGATTCCAGGATGGCCTTGGGGACTGCCCCACCCTTGGAGACTTAACCCCTGGGTCATAACTTTGAAACGGTTGAGATCCCCACCCCAAAAATATATATACAAATGCTGGGCAAAAAAAGACAAATGCAGTCACGATATTAGAATTGATCCTGGGGTTGGCCACAACCCTAGGGACCTAGTTTCTGAGTCAAAGCTTGGAAACAGTTGAGATCCCCACCCCATAACCATACATGAAATTGCTGGGCATGAAAAATCTAATGCAGATATGCTACAAGGATTGGCCTTGGGGCCTGGCATATTCCCTTGATCTCATTTTGAGAATATTTTTCCATGATTGCTTAGGTATCCAGGTGAGCGATACAGGCCCTCTGGGTTCTTGTTGAGATACAAAATTACTACAATAGCTACACATGGTTTATTGAAATACATAATTACTACAATATCATACACATGGTTTATTGACATTACTGACTTTACAAACTAACAACCTTGTTATACATAACTGACTTTACAAACTAACAACCGTGTTATACATAACTGACTTTATAAACTAACAACCGTGTTATACATAACTGACTTTATAAATTAACAACCGTATTATACATAACTGACTTTATAAACTAACAAACTTGTTATACATTACTGACTTTATAAACTAACAACCGTGTTATACATAACTGACTTTATAAACTTTATAAACTAACAACCGTGTTATACATTACTGACTTTATAAACTAACAACCTTGTTATACATTACTGACTTTATAAATTAACAACCGTATTATACATTACTGACTTTATAAACTAACAACCGTGTTATACATTACTGACTTTACAAACTAACAACCGTGTTATACATTACTGACTTTATAAACTAACAACAGTGTTATACATAACCGACTTTATAAACTTTATAAACTAACAACCGTGTTATACATTACTGACTTTATAAACCAATGACCGTGTGGACATAACTGACTTTATAAACTAACAACCTTGTTATACATAACTGACTTTACCAACTAACAACCGTATTTATGGCAGTAGAATGGTATTTTATGGCTACCGTATAGGGTATTATTAAGGGGCTAGATACATATTTCAGGGGGGGGTTAGATATATATCAACTATCTCATATACTTCAAAATGTCAGCCGTGGGAGGTCTCATATAAATTATTGATAGAGTCTATCATATTCAAACATGTCGGATATTCTACCCAAGGATGTGAAACACTGGTCAGAACAGGGGCAGAATTAATTCAAAATTGGAGACAGATTTATGATATTAATAATGATACAGGCCCTCTGCACCTCTTGTTCTTCAAGTTTAGGGGTGTTTCTTGTACATAAGTACCGTTTACCACTGTTGGGCAAAATCTCCCTTTACACTACCGAGTGTAGTAACAGATGTAATTCTAATTATAGATGAATTAATTGATGATGTAATACAATATCTTAAGCTCCATAGTTACAGTATTACTTACTGTTGAAATTTGTTTTATTTTTTCAGGAGATGTTGATGATACATTAACAACAACAACAACAACAACAACAACAGAAAAAACAACAGAAAAAACAACAACTGACAAAACTCTAGATTCTACTACAAAAAGCAACAAACATGACGGGAGTGACTTATAACGTTGGTGACGTGTAGATACATCAATTTGTTGTTAACCTTATTTATAACCTGTTTCATTAAAGTCATACAAACTGAAATTTGGTGCAAATGAGAGGATACGGAGCAGTGCTAGAGATCATGGTATACAATCATTTCGTGTATGGCACCTAAATCTTCAGGCTAATCATTTTTGTCACTTTTTTGTTCATTAGAATGTATCAGGAAAGGTTTATGATCACAAAATGTTAAAGACTTTTATGTTATCTTTCACTTAAAACAAAGGATGGTGCCATATTTGATTGAAATCTGTTTTGCCCTTGCCAGTAACAGGGGTCCAAGTTCAATATAACATCAATAAAATGTATTCAAAACCAGAATAAATGCTTTTTAGCTCACCTAGCCCAAATAACCAAAGGCCCAGGGTGATGATATTTTGCCAGTAACATGCCAGGGTAAAAAGTGACAAGTTTGTTCAAATCATTGACTTTGAACTTCTTTAAAGGTCACTGGAGTCAAATGTTCACAATAATCTTTAAACGGCTTCTGAATAATCAAAATCAACCTGATAATTGTTCATAAAAAAAGTACAACAAATGTCACTCTAAGTCCCAATATTTCGGCTTCCTGGCCTTCTTCAAATGCGAAAGTCAATGAATGTTTCAAGTAACCTCCATCTTGCTTTTTTGTATATTATGTTTCATAAAAATCTTTTTATGTATACAGAAAAAGAAAAAACTGCAGGCCTTTAATCGGGAACTTATCATTACCTCCCTCCCACTTTGACCCCCTATAACTACTAATGGGTCAGGCATTGTTTTTTTCAAATGCAGAAATTTATGTAGTTCTAAACCAAAGGCATCATCATGCAAAACTAAAAGCTTATTGGTGAGGGGCGTAAAAATGACCGAATATGGCACCCATCCTTATTAATCCAGCCGGTATTTCAAACATCATTATGTGATCTAAATGTAGTGCAATCTAAAGGTTCAATATTATATACATTGACTTTATAGACTGTCATCAGCGTAAAGTGAGAGATTATACCTGTTCGTCAGTAATCACTCTTTTAGATGTGATTACCGTATGTACTTTGTCATTGTCTTGGCTGTTAAGGAAGAGAGTCCCAACACCCTGTATTTTCAATGAAGAAGAGTTCTTATTTGTTATTCAATTTTCATACTTTGAATGGCTTGTCCATTTGCTATAACAAAGGGTTAGATATGAAAAACAAATGTTTTGTTAATCCTTTTCAGCAACATCATTTCAAAATATTATAATTCATTAAAATTCCAACAACTATAACTGTGTTTGTTTGGATATAGAGTGAATAAAATAAGGTTAAAAGGAAGATAACATTTTAAGGCCTGTCAAGAGAAGAAGAGTGGTGCGACTCTCTACATAAAATTTTATTAGATGTAGTTACTATTTATTCCCCTACCTCCTCACCATTCTTTTTTAATTTCATTCAAGCTTGATACTTTTGGCATGAATGTCTGAGAAATACGACTTACTGAATTAGTTGATAAAACATGTACAGGTACTCTATTCCAAATTGTGGTTTGTAAAAGTTCAGTCTCTGTGGTTAAGTCTTTTTCAGAATGATTTGATGAATTAAGATGATAGAGATAGGAAACTATACATTGTACTCATTAAATGGAGATAGAAAATTCATCGTGATCAGTGGTCCTCATACAAAACTAGGGTCAGTGGCCCTCATACAAAACTAGGGTCACATGTCTTCTAGTGTCTTCACCTGTCAGAAGGGTTGGTGAGCTTATACCATGGCGCAGCGTCTGGCGTCTGGCGTCCATCATCCGGCCGTGTGTCAACTTTTCGTTTAAGTCGATTTTGTATAAACGGTGTGTGTGACCCCCTGGGGGGCAGAGAAGCGGAGCCCAATAGTTGAAATAGAGGTATAACCTTTAAAATCCTTCTTCTGCCATAGGGATTAAGGGATCAAGTAGTGCCTGCTACTAGTAGAGTGTATTAAAACAAGATGGCCACCAGGCTGCCATCTTGGATTTTGACATTTGAAGTTTGTTCTTGCTATATCTCCATAAATACTGGATGGATCTTTCAGAAATTTTATATGCACATACAGTACCAACCATTGAGTTCTGTATCTTAACTTCATATCAAGTACTTTAAACATATCCAGGTGAGCAAAACAAGCCCCTTGGGCCTCTTGTTAGATTTATTTTTAAACTTATGCACATTTAAATAGAACTGGCATTGTTCCTTAAAATGGGTTTAATAGATAAAAAGTAATTTCCCTCCAACTATGACTAATCGATCATGATTGTTTTATCAAAGGTCATGATAAAATGACTTAAAATGAAAAATTTCAGGAGTTATTGAGATTTGGAACAGACCTGAAAACACATTTATGATAATAGTAATTTGAAGTTCTTATATACCCCTTTATCACAACCTTGTTCGTAGGTCATTTCAAAGCGATTCACAAATTATTAAACAAACAATTTTACTAATTACTGATAGAAGATATGAAGAGATAAAGGACCCTGAACACCTAAGAATGGTGCAATGACTTCATTGAGATCGATACGTTTCGAATCGCTATGTGGTTCATCATCAGGATGTCTAACAGAGTATAGAGTGGCCTGAAGTACAAATTTGTGGTTACACTATGTGACTACATTGTGATTCATCCATATTGTCACACATGTTTATTAGTAAGGACTTTTACGGATCCACCTAGAACTAGGAGTTTTGGATCTCCTTCACATATTATCTAATTACTAATAGGTTTTACAATAAACTGCTTTCAAACAACATGTCTGCCTATAGCTCTATAGGTAATGTGTCCACTACATTTTACTGCTTTTGATGAATGCTCCTTTTTTTACTTTCATTTCATTTTATGATTGATCTTTGATAAATAATGATGATGGATCATGAATTTTGAAGTTTTCCCCCCAATACTAAGTAGAACCACATGAACAATGGAGCTAGTTTTGTGTTTACATGGATGAGCAATTATCCCCTGGATTCAAGCTTCACTCTGACTTGAGTGTGGATCATCTATACATTTATTGTTGTTGGAACCTTCCATTCAAGCGCCTCCAAGCTTTCTCTTGTTTGAAAACCCATTCTATTTATAACTAGCTAGCCAGATTAGAGGATCTAACATGAGTGTCCATGTCATATTGAAATTGAACATAAAATCCATATGACATGGCCATGTATGTAAGATTCTCTTATTCACATAACGTTTATAATTTGAAATAAAAAAAACTTCAAATATAATTATGTGTTATCAGCTGACTCTATACAGGTTAAAACCAAAGAACTCCCATCATAGCATTTTTTTAAATAATGAAAACTTTTAATTGCAGTGAAAGTAATGACAAAAAAAGCACATTTCAAATTAACATTGAAAATTATCAGAGAAAAATGCTGTTCACAATTTTGACCAAAAAGCAGGACCTTTAGGTTTGATCACATGTGTGTAATACCATATTGATGACATGGCTGTAGGACATAGTAAAATGGGTCAGTTATGTGGTAAAAAATATTCATACACTGTAATATTCAATAAAACATTAAGGTTTCTTTAATTATCATGTCAGTCTGGTTTAGACAAGTTATTGATAGTTTGTGCATGTCGTTATCATGTTTGTCACAAGAAGGCATCAATGACCTGTTTGGATCAGGAACAACATCTGAAAGGGGGAGATACTTTTCGGTCAGCAAAATGTATTTGTTAGATATATTTTAGAAGAATGAGTGAATAATTGTGTCTGAGAGTTATATATGTAGGTATTAATATAGGTATAGGTGTAGGTATTAATGTAAACTTGAAATAAGGATAAAATGATACTTTTAGTTTTAAGGATCAAGCTCATTGCAATGCTATTTATTAATTCTAATATTGCTGGTATTAAATTACAGATTCAAGGTAATTCAATTGTCTTAGACAAGTTCAAAAAACTTTATAAAATAACATTTACAGACTCAAGGTATTATCTCTGAGGATTTGTGCAGCATTATTGTTCAGATAAAAGTGATTGATAGTTGTAATTTTGGCTAAAAAAAGTACCTTTCTCATTTGTGCTGTCTTTTTTTTCTTTTGCAGCTGGCTATTTGTTCTATTTAACACGTACACACGTGTGATATACTGTACTGCACTGCTGTTGATTTTGTATCTTTTTTCAAAATGTAAGAGGATAATCCATCAGTAATGATGAAGTATTGAAGACAATTATAGTTATGTCGTGTTGTAGTTATGTTGTATTGTTTTTAGGGTAAACTGAATGTCCAGACATTCTATCCCTTTCTGTTTCCCAGTTTTGAGGTTCAGGGGGTCCCCTTTTAAAATAACAGCAGTGACAATTCTACCTGATAATCTTAAAATGAGGCACAATACCCTACATATATACAAATCTGATTCCATGCTTGATAAGGACAAACATAGGATGTGTAGTATTATCATAGATGTCTGTGAAAGTTAATGAATAATAGTGGAATACACCTTGATAGAATTTTGAATTGTTTCGTTTTTTCGAACTGTGTGTTTGTGTAAACCATACAGTAAGTGTGTTTTAGTATGAGATTATAAACTAGGAATCAAACAAATGGGAGGCGAGATGTTACATTATTTACATTTGTGATTTTGAGGGTATTTAAATTCTTGATACATGAAATACTGCCTTAGGACCAGTCGTATTGTGTAAGGTGTCCATTTTTTGCGGCAATAATGATCATGAGTCATTAGTGTCACAGATATTTACCAGTTGTCTGGTATTTACATCGCCAAGCCCCTTTATAGTGCTGGGAACCAATTGAAAAAAATGAGATAATGGAAGTGTTTTGAGTTTTTAGGTCACCTGAGCTTTAGCTCAAGTGACCTATTGCTATCCGTTTTCGTCCGTCGTCGTCCGTCGTCCGTCGTCCGTTAACATTTTACATTTCAAACTTAAAGTCAAGTTCTGCTGGGCCGATTGAACTGAAAGTTGGTAGGAATGATCGCCTCATGGTCCTGACAAAGTGTTGTTATTTTTCGGGTCGATCAGAAATCCAATATGGCCGCCACGGCCGCCATTTTGAAAACCTATTTCAAACTTAAAGTCAAGTTCTGCTGGACCGATTGAACTGAAAGTTGGTAGGAATGATCGCCTCATGGTCCTGACAAAGTGTTGTTATTTTTCGGGTCGATCAGAAATCCAATATGGCCGCCACGGCCGCCATTTTGAAAACCTATTTCAAACTTAAAGTCAAGTTCTGCTGGACCGATTGAACTGAAAGTTGGTAGGAATGATCGCCTCATGGTCCTGACAAAGTGTTGTTATTTTTCGGGTCGATCAGAAATCCAATATGGCCGCCACGGCCGCCATTTTGAAAACCTATTTCAAACTTAAAGTCAAGTTCTGCTGGACCGATTGAACTGAAAGTTGGTAGGAATGATCGCCTCATGGTCCTGACAAAGTGTTGTTATTTTTCGGGTCAATCAGAAATACAATTTGGCTGCCATGGCCGCTATTTTGTAAATACCTATTTCAAACTTAAAAACAAGTTCTAATAGGCCGATCTCACTTAAAATCGGTCTAGGAATGATCAGCTCATGGTCCTGACAAAGTTAAGTTAACATTATACTTAACTATTTTTAACTCAAATTGGTACATATTTCAACAACAAAAATAAATACTGTAGGACTCAGGTGACCGTTAAGGCCCATGGGCCTCTTGTTTTCTAAGGACTGGATACCCTACAGTTAATTGGGTGTAAGAAGAAGTGTAATTGAAAAAGACAAACCTAAAGCACTGGAAAAAAACATGTTACTAAGCATATTGTGCAAAGTGAACGAGAGAATGTAGATGTTACTAAGCATATTGTGCAAAGTGAAGGAGAGAATGTACATGTTACTAAGCATATTGTGCAAAGTGAACGAGAGAATGCACATGTTACTAAGCATATTGTGCAAAGTGAACGAGAGAATGTTTATAATTTGGTATAATATATGACAGAAAATTGTGTGGAATGAGATAGGAAAGCAATGTGAATGAAAAATGAAATGCAAGTTTTGAAAACCTTTTGAAGAATAAAATAACGAAAGACAAGTAATCTGATATTTTTATTTATTTTTAGCTCACCTGGCCAAAAGATCAAATTGGCTTAAATGTTAAAAATCTTCTTCTCCAGACCCAGATATGCTGGAAACCAATACTCTTCATAGGTGAAAGGGTCTTGAGGTACTTTATCGAAATTGTGAATTTCATGACCCTCGAGCTTCACGTTTGCCCCTGGGGAGGGGGTGAAATTTACGAAGTGCCAAGTGAGCTTATGCCGTGGCCCGGCGTCCGTCGTCCGTCTGTCTGTATGTCGTCCGGCGTCAATATTTTACTTTAAACGACATCTTCTTAATAACCGAAAAGCCTAGGGTGATGATATTTGGCCAGAATATTTGGCCAGAAGCAAACTGGGATGAAGGGCTACAAAGTTAATGACCTTCACCCATTTTCAAGGTCACAGGGGTCAAATATGTGCAAAACATTAAACATCTTCTTCTGAATAACCAAAATGCTCAGGGTGATGATATTTGGCCAGTAACATGCTGGGGTAAAGGGCTATCAAGTTTGTTCAAATGAATGACCTTCACCTATATTAAAGGGTCACAGGGGTCAAATATGTGAAAAACTTGAAACAACTTCTGAATAACCAAAATGCCCAAGGTGATGATATTTAGTCAATAGCATACTAGGATCAAGGGCTACCAAGTTTGTTTAAATGGATGACCTTGAATCATATTCAAGGTCACAAGGAGCAAATATGTTCAAAATATTTAAACAACTTGTTCTGAATAACCAAAAGGCTCAGGATGTTGATATTTAGTCAGTAGCATGCTGGGATCAAGGACTACTATGTTTGTTAAAGTGAATGACTTTGACTTATATTCAAGGTCACAGGGGTCAAATTTGTTTAAAATCTTTAAACGACCTCTTCTGAATAACCATAGGTCCCAGGATGTTGATACTTTGCAAGTTACATCCTGAGATGAAAGGCTATAAAATTCAACATAATGACTTTGTTCGACTTTCAAGGTCACAGGGATGAAATGTTTTTAAAAAAATTACAGGTCCTTTTGAATGAATTTTAATCATAAATACAGATATTTTGCCTGTAGCTTTATTTTAGATCACTTTTAAGGTTACAAGTGTGAGATTTATACCAGGTGAGCGATGCAGGCTCATTGGGCCTCTTGTTCGAAAGTTAAATACCTGAACATTTTATTTATCTAAGAATCTGTCATCAGTTCCTTATTAAACTCCTTCAGTGGCTCAGTAATTAGCCGGAACTTATTTTAGATAGGAACTACAAACGTATGAAACACTTGCTAATTGGCTGATTTAGTTGTGCGAGTCCTAAAAAGATGCAAAGCATCCAAATGGCAAATTACAATACACAAAAAAACTCTTCATTGTTGAATCAATATATTAGATATTTGATAGGACAGCTGTTTTCTTTTTAGCCAGTAGCCTTACTCAAATAAAGCACACAAAAAAATCCAACAGCTCGTTCTACTGTAATAGGAAAGAAAGAAGCGGAAAGATGAGGTGCCCCAGCTGGGATCGAACCCACACCCCAGGTTTCAGAGGCCAACGTTCTACCACTGAGCTAACCCTACATGTCCTCTCAGCTGACTGACAGAACCACTATTTATTTCACACTACTTTTGCATTACATGTAGTTCAAGTTACCTTTGTAACAAAATGATTTCTTTTTCATTTGGCAACATCGATAACATCAATTTTTACATAACTCACGTGACCGTTAAGGCCCATGGACCTCTTGTTCTATTTATAGTAATGGTGACCTTGACCTTTGTACCTGAAAAGCAATCCCAAGCAAGCAGTATTGGTAATGAAGCACTGTATGAAGTCTGAGCTAGATCAACCTTTAGAAGCTTGAACTATCGCA